AAACCAACTTCAAGGGGCAATGATAACATCATTTACATTAGAATTATGATTTTGTTTTAATTACTACTAGTTATTAATAATACTTAAAAAAATGGATACTCCATTTGAAACTATGTCACCTCAGTGAAACTGTTTGACATAATTGTTTTGGTTTTTGAGTTATCATGTAATAAAAAAGAAGTAGATGAAAGAAGAACAAAAAATTCAAATTTTTGCTATGATATTTACAGATATTCCCAGAACTTGTAACTCAGTAATTACATAGATATTGCTATAAGAGGAAACACTGTATAGTATTGTAAAGTTCTGATGACCTATTGAGAAAATATTTAAAATACCATTTTGATGCACAATCCGATCCATCCCTACACTATACATAAGTAGTGCAACCTGCCTGATAGCCTAAAACATTTTGCTACCAAGCATCCTTGTAATGTATTAACAGTTTAACACCACAACAACAAAACTAGATTTATAAATGGCTTAGTCTTCCATGTAATTTTGTTTCACATGAAATAAAGCAGTTCCATAAGTGCTAATTCAAGTTGATTTTATACTGTCAGTTTATAAGATATTTAATAAAAAATTAATTTGTTTACTTCAGGTGGACCTACTTTTTATAAAACACTATTTCATTAAACCTAAATTTTTAATATTTATTTATATTATCTTAACACCAAGTGTATAGCTATGACGTTTTATTTTATTATGTACGAAAAATATGATGAAACATAAGCCTTGAGTTGTAAGTATTACTAGTACTAAGATAACATACATGCTGATCTCAATTTTTAGAATCCTTAGAATCTAAGTTCCAAGTGATTGAAATTTTTAATGAAATTGAAAATCACTCACACACTCTCAGATATTTTATCTCTAAAATTAAAGAAACACAAATACTTAAACATGTGATCTGAAAATAACTCGGGAAATTACTTGTATTTTATCATTATTTCTTAATGTAAAAGAATTTGCATACATTTCGTATAAAACTAATTTATGCATTCATTAATTTATGAGTTAGGCCTTACCGAGTTTCTCAAACAGCTTCCTCTCTTCCCAACAAAACACAGTAACACTGGCCGTCAGTCTAATCACAAAAACTTTACCGAATCTTTGTGAAATTGACTAGTGTTCGGTACAGTAAGACTAACATTTAAAAAGTAAAGTCACCAAACACAAAACATGATGTCAAGGAACACAAGGCAACTACTAGCAATACTAATAGTAACATTAAGTAATACTACTATACTATGAGTATGATTACTAGTACTAGTGGTATCAATAAAAAGTAGAATACTAATTACGTTGTGTGATAACTCTTAATAACACATTAACTTTTAAGTGCTTGCTTTAAAGTCATTTAAAAACATTAAAAGTATAAATGATTTGCTTATTAATGAATTAAACATACGTCACAATCTTTAAAACAACACTTTAAAATATTCTAACCTTGTTATACGAAATCAAACCCTTCCCATCTGACGTTCATTTATTTTATAATTTTACCACTAGATGCCACTATTTCTAATAATCTCTATTATTTAATTAAAAAAAAAAACCTACGCAAATACACTAATATCCTCCAATTCTGTTATCTAAAATAGATTAAAGATGTGAAAAGATTAACTGTTGATCAAATGAAGATACAGAATAAATTTTGAAAATTTAGAAAGTCCTATTTCATTTGTTTTACGGAACATTGCCAGAAACACGGAATAGAAGTTGCAATCTTGATAAACGTAAATGATTGAACATTTTTGCCAATAGAGAAACCGACGGATTATGCTGGGAAGGTATCATGGGAATCATACCAGACTTGGTTTTAAATCATTTCCAGAGTGAACGAGTGGAATAGTAAACAACAAGCAGTCCATCTCGCTGCCTATCTAAAAAGTACCATGAGTAACCTTCCAGCTGAGAGCTGTAACAACTGTAAGCATTAGAAGTTAGTTAATATTTCAATTCTTCAGGATTTAATATCTCCATAACTTTTAGATATTGCCTTTATTAAATCATCTGCAACCTTAATGGACTCTATTTCCGCTATCAGCTTCAGAGCTACCATTAGAAAGGAATATCCAGAGTAAAATTCCGAAACAGAAGTCTAAGAGAGAAAGAAAACAACAACACAGTGGTAATAAAATCTAAGAAAGCTTTAAGTTGACACAACATTTCGGGCCTAAACCTTTCTTCTGGTGATATTTCTTAAAATCGTATTTATACAACAATTTGAAAATCACTAAAAAACGTAACAATAGGAAAATGTGCGAAACGCGATTCGAAGTGTGCTGTAACAATACTAGCGAATCAGTTGTTGTAAAGAAATAGCGTAAGTGAAAGAGAAGCAAAATGTTTGTTTGTTTTGAATTTCGCGCAAAGCTACACGAGGACTATCTGCGCTAGCCGTCCCTAATTTAGCAGTGTAAGACTAGAGGGAAGGCAGCTAGTCATCACCACCCACCACCAACTCTTGGGCTACTCTTTTACCAACGAATAGTGGGATTGACCGCCACATTATAACGGCCACACGGCTGAAAGGGCGAGCATGTTTGGTGTGACGGGGATTCGAACCCGCGACCCTCAGATTGCGAGTCGAGCGAAGCAAAATGAAAAGGTGTAAAAATAAAATAAATAAGTAAAGCTGATATGTGAGAGATTATAATGGGAAAAGTCGGAAAATGCTAAAACTAAAGTTACAAAAAAAACACTTGGTTGTTTAACTAACCAAGTGGAGAAATTGTACCTAGAGTATAAATATGGGGTCGTTATTCGTGTTCACGTAAATAACGGTCTGTTGGTGTAGATCTTAGAACAACGAGTCTGAAATGTGACAAGTCGTGTTTGTCATCTGAAAATTGTCTTGAGACTGGTAAGTCAAGATAACGATTTAATATGTGTCGTTAGTGTTCGCAAAATCTGTCACTGATTTTGCGACCAATCTCACCAATCTACAGCAAGTTACAAAGGTCGCAAACAATGCCGTATATATAGGATTATGTTTAAAATGGAAAAGTATTTGTACTGTAAAAGCGATTTGGGGGAAATGTCATTGAAATTGAATTGTCAATGTGATGACAAGTCACACAACGTGGTCGGTTGCATGGGAAAGAACCAGGAGGAGAGTCGGGATGAGAATAATTAGTCAAGACACTATGGTTTAGTAAAGGTTTAAGAGATCATATTAGGGATAAACATAATAATAAATTCAAGAAATTTAATCTTACTGGAAATAGTAAGGACTTGGAGGACTATAGTATCTCAATAGAGCTGGTTAAAAAGGAAGTTAAAAGGGAATAAAACTGTATACGAAAGAGGGTTGGCTAAGAGAATTAAGTATAAAAAAAGAAATTCTTTAGTTGAGGAAAATATTGGGATGGGGATTGGACCTCTTAAATATGATAGTGGGGAGTTGATCTTGAAAGATCATGATGTGGCAAACTTAATAAATTATATGTTCTCTTCAGTTTTTACGAAAGAATATACAAGTTTTATGCCTCAACAGGAGCACTTAATGTATGGGGAAAATACTGATGTAAAAGTTGGGAAACCTAAAAATTAATAAGTTCCCTGGACCAGACAACCTTTATGCTAGAGTTTTAAACGAACTTAAAGATTTTATTTATTTTTATAGGTCATAATAGTGGAAGAGTATTTGAAGATTAGAAGTTGGTTAATGTTAGTCCAATATTTAAAGAAGTTGATAAACCTTGTTCAAGCAATTATAGGCCAGTTAGTCTTATATCAGTAGTTGGAAAGGTTTTGGAAATTGTGATTAAAGATTTATTGCATAAAGCAGATTGATATAGTGTCAAAGAACCAGCATAGTTTCACTAAGGGAAAGTCGTGTTTGACAAATCTTCTGACATTCTTTGAGGATGGTACTGCAAAAGTTGATGAAGGAAATACTGTGGATTTGGTTTACCTTGATTTTCAGAAAGCATTTAATAAGGTGCCTTACAAAAGACTTGTTACAAAAATGAAATATATGGGTGTGAGGGAAATGTTATTATATTGGATAGAAAATTGGCTGGAGAGTAGAAAGCAGAGAGTAGTAATAAATGGAGTTAGATATGACTGGATCACAAAGTTACAAGTGGTGTGCCTCAGGACTCTGTGGTAGGTCCTCTGCTGTTTATGATTTGTATTAATGATATTGACTTTGGAATGACTAACAAAATATTGAAGTTTGCAGATGACATTAAGATTTTTGGGGTGGCTAACTATATCAAAGATGCTGCAGAATTACAGAGAGAATTAGATCATTTGAAGTATTTGTCCAATAGCAGATGATGTTTAACTATCCAAAATGTAAAATGATCAAGTAGGTTTTCACAGTTCAAATTATTGTTACAATTTAAATGAGAATACATTAAATATTATGGTTGAAGAAAAATATTTTGGTATTGTGATCGAAAAATCACTTAAGTCATCTAAACAGTGTATTGCAACTAGCAATGGACTAATAAGATTTTGGGTAGTATCTGTAGAAACCTTAAATACAAGACAAGGGATATTATTGTTTCACTATATAGATCACTTGTAAAGCCTCATTTAGAGTACTGTGTACAGTTTTTGGCTCCCTTCCTTTAGAAGGACATTGAATTGTCAGAGAAGGTTCAGAAAAAAGTCACTAAGATGATACCTGGGATGGTGAAATTGTCCTATAAGGAGAGACTAAAATCTCTAAACTTGTTTTCTCTGGAGAGGAGGAGGGTCAGAGGGGATTTGATTGAGGTGTTTAAGATTATTAAGGGTATAGATAATATATATCTATCAAACTGTTTGTGTTTAGTAGTGAAAACAATAGGACAAGGGGTCACAAGTTCAAATTTTGGCAGCAGAGAAGTCATCTGCAGTTTATGAGCTGTATTCAAGGGTGGTGTAGGCAGAAAAATTAACATAGTTGAAGAAAAGATTGGACGAATTCATCAGTAGTAAGGGGTGGTTATAGTTGGGAGCTGGAAATGACATCCTTGATGGGCTAATATGCTTCTTCTTGTCCCATTCAAATTTTACGAATTTATGAAAAGAAGATGGCGTCGTAGTTCCTCAACGTGTCACTAGAGGGTACGTTGTTAGGTTGCCATGGCGTTATTGTTCCACGAAGAGAGGCCACCACATTTGATAAACATTACTATAATTAATACAGTCGGTTTAAATCACTAAATCATTAGTTAATTAAATTTCCTGAACATTTAGATCGTCCTGAAAAACGGAGAATATCATACAATGATTAAAACATACTGTTCGACTCTTTAATTATAAATCAAGTGATTAAAGATTTTCGGTAACATGATTATGATAAAAAAATCTGTACACAATTTTTCTTTTTAACAATTTATTAATTTTCTCACAATAAAGATTTTGTAATCTGATCTACAGAAAAAGACACGTCTATTAAGGAAGTATTTACATGAAAACACTTTACAACAAAATCATGAACAAATATATCATTATTATCTTTGTGAGATCCAAATTTAAGTATGAGTTTTTTGTTTCGACACATGTTGATAACGATAATAAGCATAATATATACAATATTGTCCACACACACAGATGAATATGGCCCTTGCAGTACTTTTTGGTTGTAAGTCCACGTTCAACAGTCCTTCTTGGTGAATTTTCTTAATGTTGAGATGATGTGGAGGTAGTCCCAATGGATCAAATATTATCCTTTTTCATATTGGCCAAAGTAAGTTCAGACCAAGTGGCTACCAGCTTTCTGACTCGGATCCAGGTTGACGATGTATAATTGTCTTTTCTGTAGGATCAGGTAGTTGATCACTGGCAAACACACCTCCAAACATTTTTCGCGTACACAAATCTTGCGAGAGTATCGAAAAAATTTCTAATGCGTTCATAGCGTTTTAGATATCAGACATGATGTTTATAGACTGATCAATTTCTAAAATTTACCGAAATTCTGCATGTACTAGAACATTTGTAGTGTTTGGTAAGGCACTACCAAAACGTATTTCAATTCGTAAATTTCCCTGTTTCACCAAGTTAAAGTGAAAATCTCCAGCAGATAGATTGGGTGTAAGATCAAAGTCAAAGAGTGTTTATCCTCCTGAGTATTCATCATATCCTACATCAATTCCTTGATCTTGAAATTGTTTTACTGTTCCACTAAATAATATTTCATACCTTCGTGCATACAGATCAGCATCAAAATATGGTTGTAAATGTCGAGCAGGAATTTGTTTTCCATCGACATTGATTGCCATGAAATTGATACTGTAATGTTTGAAATTGTATGGATTTTTCTTCCAAGATCCATTAAATGCATCATTATAAACATATATTATAGTAGCAGAGTGAGAGCCTGAAAAGTATGATATCCATCCTGTACCATCCAGCACGTTATGCCAGTGGATACTGTAATTCGACCAAGGCCACTTCCCACGACCCTTCAAGGTTGATAGATCTCAGAATATGAGGGATATAGTTTGTCAGAGTATTATTAACAAAATAATTCATAGAAT